TTAGCATAGATTTTTACGATTTTATTTTTCCATTTTCTCCTTAGTTTTAGTTTCGACTGAGAAGATATATTCAAACACTCGAGACAGGGTTTCATCGGCTATCCAAACACCTCGAATTTCGTCAAGATTCAAGTGCTTTTGTCATGTAAAAGGTAGTTACAATGTTTCAGCCTTTGTATAATTAAGGACTAGTTTCGTGTTTGATATTTTACGTAAATATCTGTAGTGATCAATATGATGGCAAAGCGCTCATGTGTTTTTCAGATTTCTTTGACCTGGCACAGTTGTATATTTCTTCAAGGTGTAAAATATAAGTTACAGGTTACGAGCATAAGGTTTTTTGATTCGTTTTTGTTTTCAGATGAGAGTGAGATGAACTTAATGATGAATGGCACAGGAGAAGGAATTGGTAAGATACAATTTGAGCCTGCATATTCGAAATTGGTTATTTGAATTCCCCGTTATTTCGAACTCAACACCATTTCCCTTCAGTCATTTACTATCGGCTGTCTGAACTTCCGCTATTTCGAACGATTTTTCGTTTTCCCTGAGATTTCGAAATAGCGGGATTCAACTGTAGTGCTAAACTGCAATTGATCAAAAGTAATGTTGGATAAAATGAGCGCTCAGTAATAGATAGGTATTTACAGGATCCTTTTGTTCTTTTTGATCTTACGCACAAGTGTTTGCTGTGGTTAACTGTCTTTATGTGCTTGTATTAAGAATTTAAATTCTAAGATTAAAAAGAGTTGTCTTTTTAATAGCATCTGGCTCATGTTTAAATGATTTTGTTGTCTTTTTAGATGAAATTGTAGACAGCAGTGATGAAGAGGAAACAGATGGTAACCATACTTTTGGTTTAAACAAACTATATTTAGTAGTCTTGTGGTTACAAAATATAAACAGCTGAGCAAAATAATCGTTTATTAACAATCAGTTAACTGTTCTGAAATTTATGATTTAAGCTTAATGTTTTAGAAACTGTTTTAATAATCTGAAGGAGAGTAATATCAATGATAACAATAATGACTACATTTTCTAAATCAAGGGGTTGATTTACCTATGCTAACATAGTTAACTCTAAAGTTACTTAAAATAAGGTGAAGGTTCTAAAAACTAAAACTGGAATATGACTTAAAATATCTGCTAGTATCCTCAAGGGCGATTTTCCAATGACTAGTGCTAATCTAAAAGCTATGTTACGATTTGCCATTTAAATGCTCCTGTTAGCCGCAATGGCTAGGAACTCGGTAAACAGAAATATGACAGAAATTGTTGTGCTACGTGAAACACTTAGAGCTGCTCATCAATGTGAAGTTGACAAAGGTAAATTACCGCCGTAGTGAGTGTGTAGAGTTGACGTTTCGAGTGTTAGCAAAGTTTTGCTACGGTGAAAGACTAAGGCTGTCAGACAGTGTCCACACTACTCCGGAGGAATTTGAAAACGCAGTTTTATTTGCCCGGTTTTGGCCTACCGTCCACACTAATCCGTCACGAAAACGGAGCTTTTCAAAATCGCTCTTCAAACCGGACGAATTTAAAAAGGCCGGCTTTTCGTTTTCGTCTGGACGGAAAACACTTTGAAAACGGAGCTTTTCGAGAACGATGTTGTCACAGTAATTATGTGACTTTCCTGATCGAGCTTTCCTCAAACACGAATCCAAAATGACCGTTGATTGTTGCTTTGTTAAATTTCTCCGGCGTAATGTGGACGTAAAACATTTGATACGTTTTCAAAGTCAAACCTCCGTTTTCAAATTCCTCCAGCGTAGTGTGAACGGGGTCTAACGCTCAACGCGCCAGCTTTACAAACTCGCCACTGCTGTCAACTTATCTCTATGAACTTCAGTTGGTAAGCAGCTAAGTGAAACACAGATCTAACTGGGTGAAAAAGTGTCATTGGAAGATCTCTCAACTAATTTTAAGGGCTTTTGATAGCAAACTAATCGTGGGATGTAATTGATAAAAAGAACGCCTTTGAGAACATAAAGTTCACTCATCCTTTGTCTTGTTGTAACGCTTTATCACTGTTCAGAAGAAGAAAGCATGTCCGAAGATGGCGAGACACAACTCGCGCTACTGGGAGAAAACGGCGAGCGTCAGATGAAACCCGTCAGAATGCTTAAATTTTCCGGTATTTGCTTGTTCAGCTATTTAATCCACATCATTAAATAATTGCTAAATGTTTTTTTCACGTTTGTAACATTTTAAATTGACCTTTCGCGAGAATAAAATATCTTATCATTAGCTTAGGAAAGTCTTATTACACAGCTTATGTTTAAATCTGTGAGGATTTTCATGGGTCTGCTTTTAACCGATCAGTAAACTCTCTAAAGGTTTAAAACTTGTAGTCATTCGTTTTCGTGATAAGTAGTAATATAAAGTGCGTGCCATGGAAAGGAAGTCAGTTGTCAACGTGATTTCGTCTCAAATTTGTGTTAGTGAAAGTACTTCTAAAAAAATTAACTCGTTTTTAACATTTGCCTCCTCTTATACTTTTGACACATATTTTTTTAAAAAAACATATGTGTTGTGATCTTGCAAAATCAGATATGATAATTTAATCGAATATTACTGTTTAAAAAATATTAAATAAAATGCACTTCGTAAATTTTGTGCGATTTCGAAAAAAGGAAATAAAAAATAAACATTTAATCCCAAAAGCCTGTATATGAAAACTGATTTAATTTTTGGTGTTTGGAATCCTGTACTAATACGCATTTGGCCAAGAAGAAATGCAAAATACATAATGCAGTGATTGTCGTTTGAGTGTAAAAATTTTGTTATGGTTTGGTACTCATGCGCTCTAGTTGGCGTGACTTTTGCGTGACATCGACTTTGGTTTCTTGCGTTAGGTAAACTTCATCGTGCGTTACGCTTGTCAGTGGAACATATACCCGATAGTGGATTACAAGACATCCAAGAAGAAGATGAAGAAGGCGTGGAGGAACACGTAGAGGAAGAAATAAACTCAGAAGATGAACTTGATGAAGAGGACGGATCGAGAGACGCCATGTTGAACCAAGATGGCGTGACAAGTGATGAAAATGATATTGAACCTTTCAGTAAGTCACGCGATTGCTTGACCTTTCCTTAGCCTGGTTTTGTTGCTCGGTATTCTCACGAAGTGGTTTGTTTGGAGTCTACGTTCAAGTTTAACTTAAATAAAATACAGGCTTTTTGATCTGATAAGTAAATGATATGATGCTAAAAGCAAAACAGTGGCAGGAATGGGAAGTTCCCTCTTAAGGGGATATCTATGGACGAGGTTGAGAAATCCGAAGTGGTCAAAAGCTATCGCTTTCTTGAGTTCAGTTTTCAAATAAAAAGTTTTGAACGCAATAGCGGCTAGCCCACCCAGTAGTTCTGTTGTATTTAATGGTATAAGGCTTGAAAGATGAGACAAACAAACTGTATATGTGGACCGATGGAGTGTGTCGCTAGTCTTTAGTCGTACTGTTGTCATATGTGTTTGTCTGTTAGGGGTTCCATCTCCCAGGCGGCTTCACCTTGAACGTCAGTTTACACAGAGCGTGCTCCTGAGTTGGAAGCCCGCTGACCTGCCTGCAGATCAAGTGAAAGGGTACGGTGTGTATGCCAACGGAGAACTACGGCTCATGATCAAGGGAGCAAGTAAAACCAAGGCCCTTCTGGAGGGCATTGACCCCGAGGAGGTAAGATTTATCCTCACTTTTTGGCATTATTGTAAAAAGACTTAAACCATCGTCGTACGTGTAGCTTGTACAGTTTTAATTTTGAAACTGAAAATGTTTTCTTTTCGTTTTAGACGTATCGGATATCCGTGAGAACTATAACAACCAAAGGAGAGGAGTCATCTGATCGTTCGGCTGTGTTAACTGTCGGCAAAGGTTAGTTAACTGAACTTTTGTTTGAGTGTTGGTTATAGATTTACTTCGTTGTTCAAGTCTTACATGAAATTGGAGTAACTGAAGACAAGGAATGATGTGTCATCTTCGTAAAAGTGATGAAACAAGTTCGAGGAGAGCAAGGAAGAAGAAAGCTTGGGAAATTTAGCAGGTCAGAACAGACCAGGAGGAGGAAGAAATCTACATTCCGTTCTTCGTTTAGCCGTCGCGATATTTTTCTCAGTAGTTTTATCTCAGTAGTTATTAAAGACTGGAATGCCTTGGACAGTGACTTGAAGAACTCTGACACCATATGTCAGTTTAAAAGTAATTTTTTTAAATCTATTAGTCTATAATTTACTTTTGTATTTTTAATATATTTTTTTAATTTGTGTATTTATTTTTTAATAATTTAATGTTATTTTGGATCGGGACCTTTCTGTAGATCACCTACGGGTGAGAAAGCTTCCCGTTAAAATATCATTAAACAATCTGATGGTCAGAGTGTTTTGAAAATATAGATGGTTTTCACTGTCACGCAACGAAAAAATAAATCGAAAACTATTCAGTGAATAAAGTCAAGAAATTTTCGTATTATAGGAGACAGGTAAAGAAGACACTTCTCCAAGTTTTGGGTCTCTGTGTTTTCCCAAACTTCAGATATTCGTCGAAATGTTTTGCGCCAATTTGCAGAGCCCAGTATGGAGCCGCCATGTTGGTGGAGCTCTGTGCTCCACCAACATGGCGGCCGGAAAATAATGCAAACATCTGGAACTTACTTTGGCTATCTAGGCGACTGATTATCTGAACTGAACCCACAAACATTTACACAAGCACTTTTCCTAACACTTAAAGTCCTAAAAAGGCTAAAAGTCACTAGATAAGCGTATATTTTTCCACAAACGCGATCGGAGTGGTATGTCACGCACCACCATAACTCTGGACTTCAAACGGCGCTGGTTTCCAAACAAAGCATGCTATTGGGCTGAAAAGTCGTAAACAGATATAAGTTTAGATCCCCTTATGCCTGATGAGGATAAAAATTTTCGTAGCTCTTTAGTTTTGGATTTTGGAATTTGATGACGTCACGTGAAAACGATCTATAAGCAAAAAGCAAATTCCGTCACAATAATGTTACAGTCGAACCCCTATCAAGCGGCCACCCTCGGGAAATGGGAGGTGGCCACTTAATAGGGGTTCGCCGCTTATTCGAGGCTGGTGTGCTTTGAATGTTTTTCACCATCGGGTTAATTTCTTAGTGAACATGGAGTCACTTCAAGACAATCATGATAAACGTGTGTTTGAATGTTTTTATCACTCGTCACCTTCTATTTCGATCTCTTATCTGTCATTGCCTTTTCTAAAACAATTTTTTTAAATTTTGGTGGGCCGTTTAATAGGGGTAAAGACAATAGAAAAACCATTATCGGGACAACCAAAAGGTAGTCGCGGGCGCTTGATGGAGGTGGCAAGTTAATAGGGGGCGTTATTTACAGTATTTTACTGACAATAATTTCGGGACTTTGACTACTGGCTGCTTAATAAGAGGTGGCCGCTTTATAGGTGGTCGCTTAATGGAGGTTCGACTGTTATGGTAGGGCAGTTTAAACTTTTAACTTATGTGCGTAAAGGTGAGTGTAATTTCTAGGCTTTCAACGCAAGGCTGTTGTTTCCTCTAGATGCTAACTTCGCTCCAAGCCACGTGCATGTCACGTGCGTCTCTCCGACGTCCGCCAAGATCGAGTGGTCACCAGGCAACAGCTCGTTCAGTCACGAGATTCTCTTAGATGGCGCCCTTTACAGGACAGTGCGCCCTGGCACATTCCAGCACACGATAACTAACCTCGAACCAGACCAGTTGTATAAGGTCCATGTTCGTGCTAAGGACCCTAAGCGAGTGTTGGATCGTGACAGTGAACCCGATATTGAGTTTGATCTTTTGACAGTGGAGGAAGAGTTCAGAACTGAGCCGGGTGGTAAGTGAACAAGTTTTTCTAAAACTTCGTAACAACTGGTCGAACTTTGAGATAGGTAACGAGAGCAAGTTTTGGATTTGTCTTCGTCACTGGTTATGCGAGAAGTGTCTCCAGCAACACCTCCTTGCAGTACTCACAGAAACCACTCATTGACCAGAATCAACTTTTTTCTTTTAACATTGGTTCAATTACATACATGTGCTGATACGAGCAAAATATGGGAATGGACCACTAGAGTATAAACTATGTGAGCACGTGTTAGGAAAATTTCTTCGATGATTGAAGCACGTTGCGGATGATGCATAGTGAAAACTTCAGCCTAACATTTTCAAGTTCGTGGCGTGTAATCGGTCATAATTTCCCCCCATCTCAACCGTGAACTAGATGAAATTTTTCGTATGGAGGTAATTTCCGCAAGGGTTAACATATGACGTCTCCTTCAATAGCAAATCTCTGTCGATTCCTTAACTGGTTAGTTATGGACATATTCTGTTTTCTTTTCCAGGTCTTCCAGACCCACCTCTAGACGTCGAAGTCGTGGTAGGTCACTCGAACTCACTCGACGTAAACTGGATTCCAGTGACTATTACAGAGAAGGGAACTTCAAACGGGGCTCGCGTGACAGGATACAAAGTGTACATCAATGATTTTCCCTGCACTGAGGTCACGTCACCCACAGCGGATTGTGTGACAGCTGTGTCGTGGATGGTCGAGCGTGCGGCCAAGAGGAGTCACAGCGATGCTCTTCGTGTTGTCGTTAGAACTCAATCGTGCGAAGGAGAGTCGCCTGATTCTAATGAAGTTGTTCTGCCTATTGATAAGTTTAACTTCAAAGTAAATCAGGTTATAAAACCCAAAGGAGCAGAATCGCTTGCTCAGAGAACAGACTTGACGCCTGAAGGCTCTACTGAAGATCACGATGATCAAGACGATTCAACACACGTGGCAAACGGTGTTTCGGTTTCTGACGTGCCGAGAGAACGATCTGATAGTGTGAGGCGGTTCAGCCGAGATGAAAACGGCCAACCGCTGTTAGTTGTAGTAGAAGAGACTCCTAAACAAACAAACGTTGCCATGGACTACTTAAGCCCGCTAGCGCAGCCTCGGACTAAGGGAGAACCGGTCGTGTGGAAATACGAGGCCGGGGATGAATCGGAAACTGCCGAGAGCGTTACGAAGAGTGACGGAAGAGCGTCCGAAGACGAAGATGACGAAGAAGTTGAGATTTGTATTCCAGATGTTTCGGAAGATCAAGCGCCATCTGCAGAGCAGGAAGCGGACGTGAATGGGGAAGAACAGGGCTATCAACTTCTTGAAGAGGAGGTATGTTATTAATTGTTTTACATTGCTGCTTTCTTTTATCCGCGGTAAGACCGCATCAATTAAGGTGGCTGAACACAGTTTTGATACCTATGTTTCATTCACCTTTTTCTCCAAAACCCTTGATCCCTCGGTCGCCAAAAATGGCAGCAAGCAAGTTAACAATACAAACTTTGGCTTTTTGAAGGTTAAGTTGACGTATGTGCCGTTGCCATGGCAACATGAATAAATGTAAACAGGCCTTAAAAATCGGTTTTGTTTATTTGTAGAAAATCTAGTCATTAGATTTTCTTTGTAATTTGCATGCAACAAGCTTGTAACGATTCTCACA